TCCAAAAATGTCATTTATATTTGGCCTCAGAATGCATTACCAGATGTTACTCTAGCAGATTTCCCTTCCTAATTAGGCCTCACTTAAAGGAGGAGTTAATTTTGTCTTCATTAGCTGCTTCCAAATCAGCGGGATGGGGCAAGGAGGAAGCTCAAGGCTTGCTGGGTATTTGGGAGGAAGCTGGCCCAGTGCTAAGAGTCGGTGGTAGATCGTGCTCAAAGAATGAAATTCAAATATGGGCAATCAAGACGATGGGCATATACACTGGAGATGTTTGTTGAGCACCTCCTTGAAGAATTCTCAGGCTTTTATCAATTCTTTTTGCCTCCCTATTAACCACGAGTGCAGAAAAAATTCTGGAAGAGGAATTAGGCAGACAATGACCTAAAATTTTATATAGAAAAAAAAAATAGAGGCTCAGAGAGGTGAAGTGACCCCTCACATAGATTGATCTCGGAGTAAACAGTACCTAAGATACTGAAACTGATTAATGAATGATAAGGAGACCCCACTGTTTCCTTCTTATTGATGATTTGAATAATGAGGAAGCAAGAATTCTCCTGGTCTAATTCGCATTAAGAGAGCTAAGATAATGAAGCTGTGATTAAATGGCTATTAAACTATTTTTATCAAACAGAGATCAAGCGAGTGTGAGAATCTGGGGACGCAGAGTGTAATTGCAATTCTACAAGATGTGGAAAAAATTACTATCATAAGCAGGGCATGGTCCTTCCATAATAGCCTGCATTTAAAAATCTTTGGGATACCACATGCAGTCTTCGCTTCGCAGTTCTCTCTTCAGGTGTCGGTGAGCATCTCGGAGTCCCTCATTTCCTCCTTCATTTAGTAGATTTAGTCACTCTCTCCGCACCTGGGCAAGCTGAATGCATGTCTGCCCCACCATGTGTAATCAGTTGGAAGATCCTTTTGCCAACTGCTCACAAGGGAAGCAGGCCCAGATATGACGTACTGGATCCCAAACTGCAGTCTCGAGGTGACTTTGAGCACTTGAAGGAGCAGGATCGACCTTCCTTTAACTGTACCCTTTGAATGAGTTCACACTTAGTGCGGGTCAAATAGGGACCCAGCAGTCCCAACCAGCGATCGTAATGAAACTTCTGGTTTGATGGAGTGTGTTGAACTGTCTTTTGTTGGTGACGAACGCTTCGGAATTGTTGAACATTCTAAATGTTGGGTTGTTAGTATACATGTACGCCTGTCATCTGTCACTGGAAATTCTTTACAACTTGAGTGAGTTTTTGTTGATGAGGCGTCTTTACTCCTGGAGCTCCCTTAGAGAGTGAGTGTCACAGTCACACAGACCTTTGTTCAGGCCGGAAGAATAGCACCAGGCTTGTGTAAGGAGAGCCCAAGGTTGACACCCACCAGGGGAAGAGCTGCCTGATAGGTACAGAGCTCCCCTGCGGAAATGCCCATCGGCCTGGGCTCTTCCCTTCCTTTCTCCACCTCTCTGCTACCATCTGCAAGACTGAGCTCAGCCGTGTAGTTGTCGATCGCTACCGAACTGGTGACCCACTCTCTGGTTTTCGCCTCTCTGCTTTTCTTCTCTTAACTTGTATGGAGCTCATAAGTGTATTTTTGTAGGAATGGTAATTTCAAATGATTAGAAAGCAGTATCAGAGCAGAGTCTTTGAAGGGATATCTTGTAAAGTCACTTTACAACCTGATGTATTTCCATGCCCCGTCGCCTGTGAACAGGCATGTGTTAGGAGGCCAGTGTGCTTCATCTGCAATGACTTTGATTTATTTGCTCTGTAAATTGGGACCGAAGCGATAATGGGAAGTGACATTAATTGTTTACCAGAATCCTTTTTGTCACATCCATTGCCTTCTCTGGAGTGTGTGACTGTTGAAACTCATGCTAAACTAATTGATACTGCCACAGTGAGGAGCAATGTCCACTCACCTTTATATACAGGAGTATGTGTTGAGCTTCAAAACGAAAATGTCATCAATAAATATTTTAATTTTCCCCCCGGTCTTCTATGATTAGACAAAACATGGAGAATTTGAAATAATAACATTTTCTTCTTCCATAATTCAAGAACAACTTGATTAAATGGTCTCCGAGCACCTGTCTGAGTCACCCACATTCAGGGATGGTAATAAAGAGTTTTAATAATCATTTCTGATGAACATGGATTAAATAACGATTACAGTCCATACTGGTTGACTACCAGCCTGCCCTAGCTACCTACCCCAACACACACACACACACACACACACACACACACACACACTGCCAATCTTCCGTCCCACAACCCTCCCTCCCATTGTGGTTCCAGTAGAGAGAATTTAAATGGCTGTGGTTTAATCAGATCTTGTAAATTAATTATGACATTATCAGGCTCCACTATTTCTGCCATTGTTTTTGATGTACATTCACCCGGGCTTTATTAAAGAAATTGGAGAAAACTAGTTAATTTAAGTGTTCTTTGTCATTCTGACTTGATTGGAATTATTGTAGTTTGTTTACACGAGGGATGGAACTAAGGAGCTATTGTATTATGTGATTGAAAGCAAATAGAGGCTTGTAGTGTTGCTGGAAAGCCAAACACAAAATTTAAATCGGGGTAAACAAAATTACTCATTTATTGGTAAACATTCTTAACTGTTTTTCTTGAGCTATTTTTGAACGCCATTGAAATAAGCCTTTCTGAAAATTGGGATACCTGGAAAAGAAGCCCAGTTCACTGAGGTGTGTGTGTGTGTGTGTGCTTGAGATATCTTCAAAGATTGTTTTTATTAGATAATATGCATACATTTACATTAATGTAAGTCTCGTGATTTTAGATGATTTAAAATAATATATATTTCATTTAAATATGACTTCTATTTAGGACAGATTAATAACCCGAATTTGGTTTTCTGTATGTGGGGGAATCTAAATTAAAAGAGGAGAGATTGGAATCTTTGGACACTAGGTTATGACCCTGGACAGAAAATAAGTGACAATCATTTCAGTATCTTTGTTATTCAGATTACATGGACAGATCCAGAAGAATGGAGGCTGGGGGATATGCTCACTAATGTTTTGTTATTAAATCAAGCAATTTGTTTTTGAAGAATTGGTCAGTTTTGGAAGAAGTGGTGCCATTTTGGAGTTAACATTTTACCCCTCTGATTGGGATTTACCTCCTGCATTGGAGTCTTCAAACTCAGAGACTTGTCATTCTACCCCGTGTGCCCAAAACCACTTGACTCATAGCGTTAAGTCCAGGAGCATTCGAGAGATACATTATGCAAATGTAAGAAATGCTAGTGAAATCCACCGTGAGGACAAATGGCTCTTTTTGGGCCCTTGAATCCAAAAGAGAAAGAAGCCTGTAGTTTTATTCCTGGATGGGGGACTCCTCAGTAATGAAGGAAAACAATTTTTATGTGAAAATAGAATGTATACGTGATAAAGGCCTGCCTAATTTCTCTAGTAATACAATTTGATTTTCTGATTAGCTGTCTTATTCTGTGATTCTTGTAATTTTGTCAGGTCAATTAACTGGAGTTGAGTGCTAGAGAGAAAGGACGTGTGGGCACTGCTGGCTTCATTAGATGTCAGTAGCTTAGGTGCCTTTTGTAATAGAATCTGTGTGGGATAATTTAGCCGATATTGTTAATGTCATAGCATACAGAACTTAAAAAAAAAAAAGATTTATGAAGCAGGTCAAATTGGACAAACAATGTGAAGTGCTATCAGAAGGGGGAAAAAGTGATCTACACAACATACATTCTAGCTACTAAATGCAGATCAAGGAATTACTCAGCAAGGAAGCAATGACGATACCGTGTGCCAACACTGGCCCTGGTTGCCCAGGTGCATGGGGTATAACACATTTTCCTCTAAACAAGGTGTATAAGCCCCAACTTGGGAGATCTTGAAAGTTTTTGTGCAGAGTCCTGAAATAAATATCATCTTTTATAATACGTTATTTACACATTCTTCCCTTGCACTGGAAGGTTTATGAGGGCGAAGGTTGGTCTTTCTCTTTTTATCTCTAACACCAGGCATGGCCCTGGTATTGTAGGTGTGCAGATGTTTATGGAACGAATACCTGAAGCTGAACTCTCCAAGGGTGTGTCGATGGGCATGATTGTGGGAGTTGGAGAAACGAGTTAGGATGTGTTTTCAGGAGCCCCCATTCAGAGTAATGCTGCACTAGACTAGTACCCCAGCCGCAAGAAATGAATGCATTTGAGAGACGTTACAAAGCAAGACTCTACTTAATGACTGACCAGATAAAGAAGACTCGGGGTAGTTCTAGAGTTTGAGTCTGCAGAACTGTTACCCAAACTCAGGAAGTCAAGGGAAACAGCAGTTTGGTTGTGAAAGGGCCTGAGTTTGGGTTTTGAAGGATGAGGGAGCCATTATCAGGTAGAAATGTCCAGCGGGCAGTGGTAGATTTATGACTAAAGTTGGGAGAGATGTCAGGGAGGGAAATAAATGGCTGTGGAGTGTTCAGTGATGAGATTATAATTGAAACCATGAAAGTGTATAGTTCCTCTTGGTATCGTTTCAGTTTCTGGTGCTGTTCAAACTGAGGGTTATCTAAACATTTTGCCTGTACAGGAGATTGAAACACTGTATCTGCAGATGAAATAGATGATGGTTAAAATGCTCTCAAGTTCTAGAGATTCTCTAGACCTTCTCCTTTGGTTAGGGAAACAAGACATAAACATGGGGAAAGTGCGAGCAAGATGGAGTCATACCCAGTCGTGATAAGCACTGATGCCATAAGTTGCTAAATTGGGCAGCTCAACAATCAAAGACCGGTACCGAGAGGTATCAGTTAATTGTCGGATTCAGACCCAAAGTGAATTTGGAGTTTGAGGAAGACAGGATCTTTTGTATTCCGGCGTGAGCCTTCAAAATTTCACGAATAGTTTCCTCATTTGGATAAACATGATCCGCCTATGCCGATTGACAGCGTTACCTGTCGCCCAACGCCGGCTCATCACGACGTCTGTTTTTCCGTTTTTTTCAGAAGATAGATGAAGAGAACGAGGCGAACTTGCTAGCAGTCCTCACAGAGACACTGGACAGTCTCCCTGTGGATGAAGACGGATTGCCCTCATTCGATGCGCTGACAGATGGAGATGTGACCGCTGAGAATGAGGCTAGTCCTTCCTCCATGCCTGACGGCACCCCTCCGCCTCAGGAGGCCGAAGAGACGTCTCTAGTAAGAACCCTTCCTAGTGCTTAACGGGAATTGGAGTTGCCTCTGGCTACCCGCTGCATGGGTATGACGTAGTTACCAATAAGGTTTGGGTTTTTAATTTAGACTGATGCCAAAATAATTCCCGAGCACACTCGGAGCTGCAAATTCTTGTGATTTTGTGTTTAAGAATGTTGGTCATTAACAGTCTTCACGTAGGCTTACGGAAGTTTGTTTTTAACTGTCTATGGCTGTGGATGTGTGTGTATCGCTATTTCTTAGCATTATTTATGTCCGTGGTAGAAACTTAGAAGATGCAGACGACCCGAAATGAATGCACCAAAAATTCACCTGTGATTTCAAATAATCTCTAATATAAAAAAGGCTGAAATCTCCTCTTGTTTTAAGATCTGTCATCATATTTATGAATTTTAGATATGCATAACTGTTAGTGTTATACATGACTTTACTGTTTGGGGATGCTCTAATTCATTAAGAGATTTCTTATGGTTGGATATTTGGTCTTTGTCCTGTTTTTCCACCATCATAAATTATGTAATAATCGACATATCTGTAGTTTTATTCGTATGCCCGTGATTCTAGAAATAAAAGGTAGAAAAAGGGATATGCAATATTTTAAGGTTTTAGATCCATAATTCTTATGAAGATTGAAAAATAATAGCACATTTGCAACCTAAGTTCCCTAAATTTATGGTAGGCAATGAAGAGTGAATTTGTTGGCAATGAAGAGTAAATTTTCTTTTCGATGCAGTGCTTGACCAGAATTTTATTAGTTCTAAGACACAGTTTACCTTCTCATCTATGGTAGCCATTTGTCATTTGCCATAAATCTGATGTAAGACCACACTATGTAAATTATGGAACGCTGTTCTCCAAACTTTAATAATGTTCCTTGGCATGCCATTTAGAGGTTGTTTGTCTCCCATCTCTAAGTTTTTTAAATGTGGAAAGCACTCCATGTAAACATATGGAGACTCTATTCGTATGCCTGTGCATTTTGAGTTTTCTGGTTTAGAAGAAACTGTCTCATAAGTAATTGTTTGGCCCCCAACACACACACACACACACACACACACACACACACACACACACACACACCATTTCTCCATTTCTCTTGATTTCTTTACATTGATACCAGATGATTTGCATCGGCATAACTGATTCGACTAGGAGGAGTTGTTGATTCAGAGTCATCCTGCCTGTCCAAGCAGGGAGGTCCCAGCAAGCCAGCAAGTCAAATGAAGAAACAGGGGTCAAGAAAGAGTAAATGACAGGGCAACTGGGTGGCTCAGTCGGTTTAAGCATCTGACTCCATTTCAGCTCAGGTCATGGTCTCATGGCTTCGTGAGATCAAGCCCCGTGTTGGGCTCTGTGCTGACAATGCGGAGCCTCTCTCTCTTCCTCTCTCTCTGTCCCTCCCCTGCTGATGTACACGTGCGCACACACAATCTCTCTAACAATGAATAAATAAACTTAAGAAAAAAAGAGAGAGTAAATGCTTTGTGTGAACCAGAATCACATCTCCCGACTCTATCTACTTACAAATCTTTTTCAGTGATAGCCACACTTTCATCACAAATATTTGAATCAGTAAAGTTAAAATGGATTGTGAAATATCCTTCAAAGCGTTGCGGAATATTGTATATATTTTCACTTGATGCATTTGGGTTATTGAGGGGACAGAATACATAGATTCTGTCCCCAGTCCCCAGTTCCTCATTTAGCAAGGCAGCATTTCTCATCTAGTAGGTATTTAGAAACCCTTTCAGGAAGATCCTTTTGCCTGATTTTATCTTTAAAAAAAAAGTCAAAGTAGACAACACTTAGTCTCAAATGTAGGGAAGGGACATACTTTCACAGTTGGTAGTGTAATGCCAAATTTTTCTTTTTCGAAATATGTTTCCTTTAGCACTATTGTGCCGAGGTGTGAATATAATTAGAGAGTGATGGAATTAATGTTTATAATTAAAATTAATTAATTTTAAGTTTAAAATTTCAATAGCTTATTCGGATGCTTAAAAGATGCATAACTTCTCTTGCTTTTCCCCCTGATATGTTTCTAGCTTAAGAAGCTTTTACTGGCACCAGCCAATACTCAGCTAAGTTATAATGAATGCAGTGGTCTCAGTACCCAGAACCATGCAAACCATAATCACAGGATCAGAACAAACCCTGCAGTCGTTAAGGTACGATGTGAACTTTGTAATATAGGAGGGAAACTAACAAAAGATTTTGCTTGAAGCTGTAAAACAAAGGATAGGTTTATTTCTACGTATTCAGTTGGGATCCCGCAGTTGCTTTCTAACTGTGAAACTATATGAAATGGGTTTCCAAAAGCAGCGCTCCAGCTACTTTAAACTAGAAAGAGTTCATTTATGCTTTGTCTTCGGATGATTGGAATGGAAGTTCCACCGTCTGTTACTCCTTGCCCACTTTATTAATACGTGCGGCAATGTGGGTTACAATAAAATTTGCTGATAGGCTGGTATTATCTAGGAGTGACTTTAAGATGCAGGACTGCCGTTTTGCCAGCTGTCTAACCTGAGAAAGACTGTTCTGGAATCACCGCAAAAGATCTGTCTCTGCCATTAATTGGATAGAACGCTGGCAATGACATAATTCGGTTAGCGGGCTGTATTAAACAATGTTTGTCTTGCCATTCACTGTGAGTGAAAACGGAGCGTTAAGGGGTACTTAAGAGAATTGTGAATACGGGGCTCCAGCAATCAGTGGCAAATTAAGGTTTAAACCAGCTTATTTTTTTTTATTCACAGTAAAGGCGCTATAGGGTCTTGTTAGTTACATGTTGCTGAGTAGGAACATTGAAATGTAGGAGAAATGAAATAAAAAGCTGCCTAAATGTCATTTAGGAATTTTAAATGTAATTTTCTTTCCTTGTTCTGCAAACAATTATTCACAGCTCATAGATCTAGTACACTTAGACTGAACACTTCATTGAAAATCTCATCTCTTCAGAAAACCTATATCCATTCTGATAAGGTTCAGTTCACTAATTTTAGCTTTTTCTTTATGCCTCGTTTTTAAGACCGAGAATTCATGGAGCAATAAAGCGAGGAGCATTTGTCAACAGCAAAAGCCACAAAGACGTCCCTGCTCGGAGCTGCTCAAGTATCTGACCACAAATGATGACCCACCTCATATCAAACCCACAGAGAACAGGAACAGTAGCAGAGACAAATGCACCTCCAAAAAGAAGTCCCACACACAGTCGCAGTCTCAACATTTACAAGGTAGGCTGGGGACCCAAACACAGGCTGCCGGGGAGGAAGCCGAAGGCAAACCCGGCCTGCACCGGGCTGCGATGCCCCCACTTGGGGCTTTTGCTCCGCGGCCATCTCTCTGGAAAGAGGATTCAGCACTTGGGTGGAGATTAAGGGAAAAAAAAAAATCTTTCCTTGGACACAGGTTGAACATGTCCTCTTTGGCTGATATGCGGCCGAATTCATAATCACCAAAAGGCACCTGAAATGTGAACTGGATGGGGAGGGGGGCGGGCGTGTAAAGGGAATAGCTACCTCGGACAAGGTTTATGTGAAATCTGAATTGCTGAGATAATTGAAATTCTGAGCAAGCGGGGCTAGCCAATATTAAAAAGATTTTATTTTTTCCCTCTTCTTTTTTTTAAATTTTTTTTTCAACGTTTATTTATTTTTGGGATAGAGAGAGACAGAGCATGATCGGGGGAGGGGCAGAGAGAGAGGGAGGCACAGAATCGGAAACAGGCTCCAGGCTCTGAGCCATCAGCCCAGAGCCCGACGCGGGGCTCGAACTCACGGACCGCGAGATCGTGACCTGGCTGAAGTCGGACGCTTAACCGACTGCGCCACCCAGGCGCCCCTTCCCTCTTCTAATAATGGCAAAAATGAGGCATTGTTGATTTGCTGTACATACCTTAAGAAATAGTACATAATAATGTATGCAGCCTCTCCCGATTATTAAGTGTATTCTTTCCTTTCTTTCTTTCTTTTTTTTTTTAAGACCACATGTTACACTCATAGATTTTATTTTGTAAACAATGATTTGGAAATTCCTGGAATTTATTTTCATTTGCTTTCTATTAAAAACTATGGCCGAGAGCAAACTAAGCATCTGGGGTGATTTTTATTATTCCCATACATTGCTGGAAGGCCGATGCTTCTGAGGCAGATCAGGGTGATTTGGGGAGAACCTGCCTTGGCCGAGATATAATTTTCTTTCTTTTTGGCTCTTCCCTCACAAAAGTCCTGTCTGAGAAGCTTATGAAAGTTGCTGTTGCTTTAAAATATCCCAGCTTCCACATTTGCCCTACCTTTAACCTTATAGTGGAAGCAGGCATATTGTAAAATAGCCATTACAAACACCCACTTCTTTTTTTCCCCTTTTGTTTCCTCAACTTCCCCTTCCAGCTGCAGAGTGGTAGTCCCTGATCCCTGTTTTGAACCATGATTATTTCATACAGGTATGCCGTTGCTGCTGCTTTTAATAAGTATTTTCTTTCCAGTGTTTTGAATTTCCCTCTCTCATCCCTACGTCCCCATAAACCTTCTGGAACCTTCTTTCAGAGTTTGAAATTGGCTTTCAGTGAGGTTTTCCCTGGTGGTTATCTCAAAATCACTTGGCCAGCCTTTTCTGTCGGTTCAGGGAAAGAGATTTCTTGAAATGGGCCAAGCTGTTTTGCAGCTCACCTTGCCCTGATTGGTCCCTCACACGCATGCGCGGGAACGGTTTCTCTTAGAGCAGAACCCGCGGCGCTTTGGGACGCAGTGGTGTGGAGAGAGCCTCAGGGGAAGGGGGCGCAGCTGGGCTTGCTCTAGTGAGGGGATGAAAAATTCACTGGGCTGCTCTCCCCCTGGTCCTAGTGTGTCCTAGTCATGAGTTCAGCGTTTTTGGAGCTGAATTTGGAGTCCTAAGCCGGCTGAAACCCTGTAGTGCATGAAGCCAGACAAGCAGCACATGTTCTAAACATGTTTTGTTTTTTTGTTTGTTTGTTTTTTAGTTCGTTAATTTATTTTGAGAGAAACAGACAGCGCCAGTGCAGGAGGGACAGAGAGAGAGAGAGGGAGAGGGAGAATCCCAAGCAGGCTCTGCACTGTCAGCACAGAGCCCCCGGTGGGGCTTGAACCACCAACCATGAGCCTGACCTGAGCTGAAACCAAGAGTTCAGTGCGTAACCGACTGAGCCACCCAGGCATCCCTAAACATCTTTTTAATTTTTACATTCTTAAGACTTTATTTGGCCTTTTTGGATTTTGAGAGTTTGGGGGGTTCTTGGTTTGTTTGTTTTTTAAATCCATTTATCACTAATATTACTGTTACCTCTTAAAAAACCATGACGGTGAGGCGTTAACTTGGCCTGTGGAGGATATATTCCTTAGAGACCTGCTTTGTATGGGTATTTATTTATTTATTTATTTAAAAAAATTTTTTTTGAACATTTATTTATTTTTGAAACAGAGAGAGACAAAGCATGAATGGGGGAGGGTCAGAGAGAGAGGGAGACACAGAATCTGAAACAGGCTCCAGGCTCTGAGCTGTCAGCACAGAGCCCGACGTGGGGCTCGAACTCACAGACCGTGAGATCATGACCTGAGCTGAAGTCGGCCACTTAACCGACTGAGCCACCCAGGTGCCCCTGTATGGGTTTTTAAAAAAGATATTTTGTCTGTGGCAAAGCATAAAAAGTTTATCCCAGAACAAGGCCTGTTAACAAAACACAAAAAACAAAAACGAGTGACCAAAAAACCCCGCAAAATTCCTGAAGTTATCAAAGGCCTAAAACAAAAAATAAAATGGTTGGCTGTGGATAACCAACAGGAAATAAATGCTCAGCTTCAGGACTTAGTTAAATTATTATTCAAACCGAAAACAAATATATTCACAATTAGAGACAATAACCAAGGGTCTGCGTGGTCCAAAATACCATGATCTGAAGGAAAAAGATGCATTCTTGCCCTTAAGGATCTTAGAGGCCCTGGTCTATCAGTCATTGGAATGGTGTGGATTAAACTCCCAGGAAACCATATCAATACTCCCCTAGTGGTAGTTTTTGTGACCGTGGTATCATGATCACCTATACCCAACTATCAGAATGTTAGGAATCTTCCTTTGAGCATTTCAGGTAGCCTACCCTACACCTTGAAAACTGGAATTTCAAAGACCGATTTTCAATGTCTATTTATTGTGTGACCTATAGCACACAGTTCCTCTCTGGTGACATTTTCCATGGAACCTGTATGCGTGATCCTAATTATTAGTTGAACACTGAAAAAGTTGGTAAATTTCTTTCACGAGTGTGCTCTTTTGGAAAGGCTCATTATATCAGACATACTAAAACAATTAATGTAAAACCCAGTTCATTTATCTGTATATATAAAAGCCGATCAATCAATGTACCTAATTTGTAGAAGACAGCATGAACTTCATATTTCTGGATGCACACTGGATAGATGATAAACCATTCAATTGTTTAAAAAGCAAATCTAAATCGACAAATTAAATATGTAAATACTATTTATCCAAGTAAAGTATGTAATTTCAGCCTAATTTGGACATAAATAATATTTTCACATTTCAAAGGACCTTAATTACTGGGGTGGATTAATTTACCTTAATATCTATCGAATGCAATTCCTTTCGGTAATAGGAAAAAGGAAACATATTCTGGGCTGACTCTGCCAGGAACTAGTTTTATGGCCCTTCGAAATATCATTTCATATCGTTAGACCTCAGGTTTTTCATCTATAAAATAAAAGTTTGTTCTAGAGACCTTTTTATTTTCAAGTCTAGGATTTTCATTACGTAAATGACTACCTCTTGACCTTTTGAAAGTAGTTATGTTAATGACAAGAAATTGACATAAACTTACTTACATATAAATATATCTTTATAGATAAGCACATATATGCATAATATGTGGATGTATATCCCAAGTGCGTTTCTCATCATGTTTTCCCCTCCTTCTGTTCAAAATACAAGACTGCCAAGGAGAAGCAATTGAAATTTTGGAGTGAGAATATTCTTACTCCACCCCTCCTAATTAGGAAATGCCACCTGTAGGAGGTAAGATTTAGGAAGCATAAAAGGAAGTAAATGAGCTCTCTCTTTGCAAGTCTGTTGATCTCTCCACTGATAAATGCAGTATTTTACTTCCGTAGTCTGTAAGATTTGGGGATCTAAACCTCTTTTAAACCATTTGGGTCAATGTCCACAATTTGTCATAATCTCTCAATTAATTTTCAGTAAATGGAATGGTTATTGCTTGAGCTTTGACCTCATAGATATAACCTATTCTCAGGGCTAGATATAAAATTATACATTTTAGGAGAAAAATCAACTGAATATTCATAACGTTCTGTTGTCTGATAGTTATTCTGCTGTTTTCTTGTCTAAACAAACCGTGTACTGTATTCCAAATTAAAATAGAAAACATTATTTCTCTCCGATGGTATGATGCAAAATTTGTATCCTTAACCGAGATGCTACATTTTGGGGAAAATTCTGGGTTTTGTACGTGGTTTTGAATGATAGTTTACTGATGCAAATGTTGTTTGGAATTTGTTTTAGCATAATGGACTGTTGTCTGACTTTGATCCAATATTCAGGGATTTCTGTACTTTAGTTTTCCAGTTTCCAGTTTCCAACCTGATTGTAGTAAAAAAAAAAAATCTAAAAAAACCCCTCAATATTTCATAATTAGTTTCCTTTTCTTTCCTTTAGCCAAACCAACAACTTTATCTCTTCCTCTGACCCCAGAGTCACCAAAGTAAGTATTAAGAAATGTAACCATTTTCAGAAAGGGAAGGGGGTTCTAATACATTTGGCTACAGCAACTCCATTTCAGTTTGTTTTTATAAATGTGCCATATCTTCCAGTGACCCCAAGGGTTCCCCATTTGAGAACAAGACTATTGAACGAACCTTAAGTGTGGAACTCTCTGGAACTGCAGGTAAGCCTTATATATCACTTGGAACCGTGTGTAGTTATGTGTGTGTGTGTGTGTGTGTGTGTGTGTGTGTGTGTATGAAATATGTGTTAAATGATAGCATATATTCTCTATGTGATTAATGAAATTAACAAATAGTACAAACAACATTGGATAAGAAGTTACCTATAAATATTTTCATTTATACTTCTTTTTTTTAAAGAAGACATTTTTTGTGTGTGTCAGACTGGGGCCAGATCCTCTGATGTGTATTATTGCTTTGGATCCTTGAATAACCCTATTTCAGATTGAGACCCCAAAACTTGAACAGGAGGAATTAAAAAAAAAAATTAATGTTTTATTTATTTTTGAGAAAGAGAGAGAGAGAGAGTGTGTGTGTGAGGGGGGGAAGGGCAGAGAGAGGGATACACAAAATGGGAAGAAGGCTCCAGGCTCTGAGCTCAGTACAGAGCCCGACGCAGGGCTTGAACTCGGAACCGCGAGATCGTGACCTGAGCCGAAGTCCAACGCTTAACCGACTGAACCACCCAGGCGCCCCAAACATGAGGAATTTTTGACTGGTTTCACAACAACCTCATGAAGATAGTGGTAGTTTTCCCATCTTTAAGATGAGGAAATAAGGTTCAGAAATGTTAAGTAACTTGCCCAAGATCACAGAGCTAGAAAACAGGGAGCAAAGTTCTGAACCCAAGGAGCAAAGTGATTACATCGATGTTTTAATTGAAATATTTTCTCACTCGCCATTGTACTTAACAATATGCTCTCTCCTATATATGTTACCATCTTTATATCTTTCCAGCAAAGGAGAAAAATAAAAATCTGCCCATTCACCAAAACGAAATGTATTCCCATCTCCTCAAACAAGAGTGATTTTCTTTACCATTTGGACTTCTGGACTCATTTAGTGAGTCTTTGTATACTGAAGAGGAAGGAGCCTTAAAAACTTGGAGTAACCCCTAAGTAACTTAATCATCCAGGGACTTCCTAGGAAGACTTCTAAGTTGGTTACAAAAAGTGCCTTTGCACTGAGTGCTTTATGTGGAGGTACTTAAACTACACCAGAAAGTGAATCTTAGGCTTGTCTGAGTAAGAAGTTCCTTGGCTCTGGCCATTGCTGATAAGGGTAAAGGAACAGTAACTTAAACAAGATTCCTTTAACCAGAACTATAGTGCCTATATGCACCATGGTCATTGTTGCTAAGTTTAATTTCGCACTTTGAGTTTGCTAAATTACCTCCTTACGAAAAAGGTCTATCGCATGATCGCATGATTTGGTCAAGCAGTAGATTAGTTGAATTCATGGTATTTATATATATTTTATGTGTGTATGTGTGTGTATACAGACATATACATATGCAAATGTAAACATATCTTTATATGCCTACATACATATACGCGCACATAGATTCGCTAAAAGCAAATGCTTTACATCATTTCTTAAATAAATTATAATTACTCCTATAAGTAGCTTTTATGTGTGTGTATCATACGCAGCAGAGACCTTCTTATCTGACCATTTGGAATGAGTATTTGGTGGGTCTGTTGAAAAAGTTGATTAAAGTATACAGCTTTGTCATTTTACTTTTGCCTAAATCATATAAAGAAACATTCAAGTATCAAATTTTCTGTATAAGACACAGAGACCTTTGCTTTCAACTTTAATGTCCTAACTGTCAATCCATTCATCTTTCTGGCACAAACTGCACTAATAATGTATCATAGATGGTATCCACTGTTCATTTCTTGATTTTTAAAGGAAAAGAATTAAAGATATTTGTGTTGTAGCCTGAGAGCAAAATCATCCTAGATTTTTATGATTTTCACATAATTAAATAATAATAATCATTTCCCATGTTTTCCCAGTATTTCTAATACCACCTGTCTACAACTTATTTGACAACTCTTCTTTTAGTGGGATACCTTTATTGGTTCTTCTGATGGAAACTATTTTTCGTATATGTCATTCAATTTCGTAATATTTTATTATCTTACATAATTCCAGTTACCACTATAATAGACATCACCTTGTTTGGGAAATACTACTGTGGATCATGATAAGAACTCAGTTGAATCTATTAAATATGAGTGTGCAGAATGTTGTAAAAGGCAGTTACTTTGTTCCAAAGAGGATTCAGAAAGCTTCCACCGTGTATACCCGCACCCAGGTTTCTGTTAAAACATTTTTATTATTGTATTATGTATTATATTATGAATAATTTAATCTTCTTGTAAAAATGTCAAAAATATAAACTAGTAGAAAAGTTATTTGTAATTCTAAGATGTACAGTTATCCATAGTATTTTTCCCTATGGATAATTTTATACATTATATTTATACCATAGTCATTTTGTATACATAATTTTGCATCCTGACTTTTCAGTTAGCATTTTAATAGGAAATTTTCATATCTTCACCAGCCTTTTACTATCAGGCTTTTAATGTGTTGTATGACATTAGTTTTAGTAAGTACGTCAGAATTTGTTTCATCATACTCCTATTATACATTTTGGTTGTTTTAAAGTGTCACTGTTTTGGGGCGCCTGGGTGGCGCAGTCGGTTGAGCGTCCGACTTCAGCCAGGTCACGATCTCGCAGTCTGTGAGTTCGAGCCCCGCGTCAGGCTCTGGGCTGATGGCTCGGAGCCTGGAGCCAGTTTCTGATTCTGTGTCTCCCTCTCTCTCTGCCCCTCCCCCGTTCATGCTCTGTCTCTCTCTGTCCCAAAAAATAAAATAAAAACGTGGAAAAAAAAAATTTAAAGTGTCACTGTTTTGAAATAGCACTGCATTAGAAATGTTTGCTCCGAATTTATTTTTTTTTTACTGAAGTATAGTTGACATGTGATGTTATACTAGTTTCGGGTATATAACATAGTAATTCAACACTTCTATATATTATGCAGTGCTCACCGGGATAAGTGTAGTTACTGTTTGTGAACATATAAGTTTATTGCGATATTATTGATTAATTCCCTATGCTGTACTTTTCACCCCCATGACATATTTATAACTGGAAGTTTGTACCTCTTAATCCCCTTCACCTATTTTGCCCATCCCCGCCCCCCCTTCCCTCCCCTCTGGTAACCACCAGTTTGTTCTCTGTATTTGTGAATCTGTTTCTGGCTTTTGTTTGTTCGTTTTTTGTTTTGTTTTGTTTTTTTAGATTCCACATGTAAGTGAAATCGTACGGGATTTGTCTTTCTCTGTCTGACTTATTTCGCTTAGCGTTAAGACACTCTAGATCCATCCATGCTTTCAGAAATGGCAAGATTGTATTCCTTTTTATAGCTGAGTAATATTCCATTTTATATGTATATTTTTTATATCTTCTTTATTCATCTATTGCTTTTATATCTTGGCTACTATAAATAATGCTGTAATAAATGTAGGGATGCATGTATCTTTTCTAATTAGTGTTTTCATTTTTGTTGAGTAAATACCCAACAGTGGAATTACTGGGTTAGACCGTATTTCTATTTTTAATTTTTGAGAAACCCCCATATCATTTTCTATAGTGGCTGCACCAACTTACATTCCCACCAGAAGTTACGAGGTTCCTTTCTTTCAGCATTCTTACCAACTCTTGTTATTTCTTGTCTTTTGATACGAGTCGTTCTGACAGGTATAAGGTGATATCTCACCATGGTTTTAATGTTCATTTTCCTGATGATTTAGTGATGTTATGCGTCTTTTCATGTGTCCATTGGCCATCTGTATGTCTTCTTTGGTAAAATGTCTGTTCAGGTCTTCTGCCCATTTTAATTGGATTATTTGTGGGTTTTGTTGGTTCTGTTCATAAATTTAATCTTATTGTCTCAAAACAAATTCTTAGTAGTTTTTAATAATGAATATAAAGATATAATATCTTAGGGCCTTCTTGTATAGATTGCCACACTGCTTTCCAAAAGAAGTGCTTTCATTTATCGCCCTATGCATATCCTTCCATGGATATACTTGCTTTATTACATCCTTCCTGGCATTGGGTATCTTTTTTTTTTTTTTAATTTTTTAAATGTTTATTTATTTTTGAGACAGAGAGAGACAGAGCATGAACAGGGGAGGGTCAGAGAGAGAGGGAGGCACAGAATCCAAAGCAGGCTCCAGGCTCTGAGCTGTTCAGTGCAGAGCCTGAGGCGGGGCTCGAACTCATGGACTGTGAGATCATGACCTGAACTGAAGTCGGAGGCTTAACCGACTGAGCCACCCAGGTGCCGCTAGGTATCTTTGTTTTTGAAGTGTTTTGCTCACATGTATATATGAGAATATCACTTTAATTGCATTCCTTCTATTAGTGAGATTATGGTGTTACAAAAAAAAAAGCACTTCTTTTTTCTTCTTGCAAAAGTTTTAGCATTTTTCTTCTTGAGAGGAACTTAACTTTAAATAATTTAATTATCATTTTGAAAGTTTAGTAGCCCACGCTATTGAGAGAAAAGTAGCGATTTATAGAAGATACATTTTTTTTTTTACATATTTAGAATCCTTAAAAATATACACAGTGGATTTATTTCTGTCAGTGAATCAGAATTTGTCTGACTGGTTTAAATCCTTTCTTCTTGGTGCTTTGAAAGATTATTGGGTACAATGAAAATCAGTTTACCAACATTTTTAATACCTGCTCTGTGCTTGCAATATGATAGGTCTTAGTGGATGTACAGCAAATATAAAGCCTAGAGACTGATCCATACAAAGCATGAAGCATTGTACTTGGCCTGCTCAATAGTCTTGTGTTTAAGATGTGAGCTTATCCTTCGGATTTTGTGTCTCCCTCTGTCTGCCCCTCCCCTGCTCATGCTCTGTCTCTGTGTCTCAAAAATAAATAAACATTAAAAAAAAAAAAAGATACGGGCTTATACTCTGTTGGGGAAATAACACACATGGGACAAGTAGCATGAAGGCGAAATATTTATTACCTCTCATGTTTTGTTATCTTCTAAGAAAGGTGGGCCCAGGGGGTGGTTTTTAGTTTCTTGAGCATGGTAGTTTTAAGTGTAAAGATAAATTAGAG